CTCCGCCTTTAAGAGAGAATTTATAAAGTGGGGAAATGTTTTTTCATTAGGACATCTCCCGTGCTAGTTTTCCATACTCACACTTGCCTACTCATTGCATACTCACACTTGCCTACTCATTGCATGCTTGCATAGTCATTGCATGCTTGCATGCCCACCCTTGCATATCATGCTTGCATGCTTTCGCTCTTCCAGTGTGTGTGTGTGTGTGTAAGTGTGAGTGTCGAAGTGTAAGTGTCGAAGTGTCAGTGTTCAAAGGATTTTCCGGAAGAACCCTTCGCAATGCTTTCGGGAAAAACAGCACGAGTGCTCCTGGGAGATGTTTTTTGTGCAAGAAGTGATCAAAACGGTGTTTTACAGTGATGTTTGGCTAAAACATCATTGAGACAAAATGGGGGTACTATAAGATTTGGATTTTTTGTCTCAAATGTTGGTTTCGCCTAGGTCCCAGAGCAGTTTTTGAAATGTTGCACGGTATTTGCAGTGTTTTCTAAAGGTTTTGAGCTAGTGTGTGCTCTCCCAAGCACACCCGCTCTCAAAAGAAACATCGAGCAATCAACTGATTCGACCAAATCACATTCCACTGGAGTCACTGCTGTGCGATCACATTGCCCCTTCGGATTCTTAAGAGGTGTGTGCCACCTTTTCTGGCTGACGCTTACAGCACTACAACCCCCCGACCCTCCAAATGAAAAAACACCATAAGCAAATTCCTGCTCGGAGATCACCTCCCCCCTTGCAACATGTTCAACTTTCCCCATGGATCCACACAGCTTCCGAAGGTGTTGATGGCGTTTGACAGCGCACATACCTGCTGAGAAGGTGGCAGTGGATCCATGGGCCTTATAGACGATCGGAAAACTCGTTGTCCGTCCGTTCCAGGCCGTTCCAGGCAACGCCGGCGCCTCCCGCATGGTGCCCCGCTGCTTGGGGTCTGCGACCAACATCCGAGCCTTGGAACACATGGATCCATGTAGAGTCACAAGAGTTGGTGGAGGCAACTCCTTTTTTGTGGTAGTCACAAGAGTTGCTTGGGGTCTCCTCCAACTCATGTTTCCAATGTCTGGTCACAGGAGTGGTAGAGGGTGGCCCTTTATGTTTTTTCCATCTAAGATGACTTATAAATAGGTGCTGCGTCCAAACTTGCAGTTTGGACGTGGTGGTGGTTTTTTGTCGGAGTTGGCCAGAAATTAAGGTTATTCCGTCTTTGGGATTTGAAAGCGGCTCTCACGGGTGTTGTATCAGCTCCTTACCCGCATGAACTTCTGACAAAAGGACTGTTTGTTCCTTAGTTAGCGGATATTGAAAGCGAGCGGTCCAAAACAAGAATATGTAGTTCATGATAGTTCATAGGAACAGATTTACAACATGCAGGGTGTCTGGGAATGGTTCTTCTTTTCGCCAATCTACATGATCCGTGCTGCGATCATGAAGGTACCGTCAATACTTGGAACTTTGACCACAAAGTTCCGGACACATGAATCATGAGGATGAATGAAGAAACCTTGCGACATCTTTTACAATGATATCACATATTTGCATAATATATATTATACATATAATATGCATAAACTATCTATCTAGCTTATTTAAACTTCCTTTATCTATACTATTTCAAGCACCTTTTAGACGTTCACCGGTCTTCCACTTGCGGCCGAGCGGTGAAGGGCTTCACGGCTTCGTCCAGGACGGCACCTCCAGGCCTTGCTCCGGTCGGGCCGAAGAAGTGGCGGAAGACGAAGGACGGGATGAGAAGTGGCGTCCCCTTGTTGCCAAGGACTTAAGAAGCTATTAGAAACATGTGCCTTACTAGTAGTAACAGGTGCCTTACTAGTAGTAACAAGAAGCTATTAACGCAATATATATATATATATGATATGACAAGTCCTATATTATATAGATGTCTAAAACACTGGTGACATCTGATTTCCCAGTAATTTCCATGTAATTTCACTGAATGAAGCTTCACTAATTTATAATATAAGTGAAGTCTCTCAGTCCTCAAGCTGTCATTGGGTCAGTAGGCCCATTGCAAATGTTTTTTTGGGGCCACAACGGCAAAAAGGGACCAAAAGAATCTAAAAGGAGCAAGCTCCTCAGACTTCAACTGTCAGCTGCCATCGACACTGACGAACTTGACACGTCACCTAAAACAAACATGAACATTCAGGTAGGTCAGGAGTTGTTTTAATCTCTAGGACTGATAAGTGTAGAAGTTGGGCACTGCCCCATGATGACCAGGGCCTCAATCCTGCAAAATTCCTATAATCTGAGGTGTGCTGTATGACCGTTGAAATCAGTTCATGAGCCACCCACCCCAAAAATGAGCCCTGGGCAGGGCCTTTGAAGTCATTAGGGGATCCAAGAGAGTCTTGTTGAGAAGTCCAAACGTAGGACAACAAGCCAGAATCACCCAAGAAGCGACAACACGCAGCCTTTCTGATTCGCGACATCAAGTCCACCCTGTCCTCAAAGCTCACCGGTCCGCCCTCCCCTTCGCCCCCTTTTGAAGAACTCCACTGGCCGAACGTGCCGAACGTGTCGCTTCTGGGCGCTTCTACAGCGGCGCTTCACTCCTAGCGCTGCGCGTGGAAGAACGGTTTGGGCGCTGAAAGCGGCGGATTGGAACGTCCGACGTCGCTTTGGGCGTGAGGAAAGGCGAGGAAAGGCTGTAGATCAGGAGCCACGGTAGGTGGAGTAGCCGTAGGGCGAGATCAGAAGAGGGACGTGGTAGTGGGACCTGGGCGAAGAGCGAAAACACCGGAGAAGTATGGAGGCGGAAGAATCGGAAGATTCAGTGTGACAGTCCTCATGTTCCGGGTGACAGCTGTTTGAGACATAGAAACCTAATGGTTTGAAACGCACATTTTGTCAATCTGACTTAAGATGGCATAAGCCACCATGAACAGAGTTCATTCCCATGCAGTGCTAGCTGAGAAGACAACGATGCAAAGGAGATTTCCAAAGCTGGACTTGGGACCTGGATGCATGCATGGACGTCATTTTCCAAGGATGATGCATCCTTTCATCAACACTCACACGACTGCGCCGAGAGCGCGTCTGTGATTCCTGCAGTACGTAGTCGCACAGTACATCATCTATCTCGTATTGATATATCTGTACAAGGTGACCGCGAAGCTTAAAACACTCCAGAGGGCTAGAGACCGCACACTTGCATAAAATAATATATAATTGCACACCTGTCACCATCTCTTGGACAACACAACTCTTGCAGCCAGCAGCGCGAAGGGTCGTGTATGATAAAGACCACCGTCACAAAAGGGTAGAAGCACTCAGCACCTGGAGCAACGGTTCCCGCCCGAAAGACCGAGCGAATGTCCCCGGAGCGACGAGCGGCGCGAACGGACTCGCTCCTTCAAGCATCACTGCGGTTAGAGTCGTTTGCCTTCATCAATCACTGTGGCAATGCTCTTAACTTATTGCAAACATATTCTGCAAGTCCTGAAAATTGATATCTGAAAGTCCCTTCCAATGCACCACGCCACTGACCATGCAGCCACTAAGTACCCCCCCACTTTGCAGCGGCGTGTCCCGTGTGTTCACCACGTCCCCTGTTTGCAACGCACACACGCCTGAGCTTTTGAAGTAGGACATGGTGTCAAAGCGCAGCTCGTAGACCTCTCCCATCTGCAAGTGAAGACCTGTCGTGGATACTCAACGAGCGCGCCTCACGTGGTCTGCGCAGCTGCTGCAAGCGGTGGTCTGCGCGCATGCGGTCTGCACCCGGAAGGGGGCTTTACTTAGTCTAGACGGGGAAAGCCGAGCGAGCTATGTGATGAAATGAATTGAAATGACAAGTCTGTTGAAGGGAACAAATGCTGCATGTAGAACAAAGAGACAACGGTGATATTGACATTATTTTAGGCACTCGTTGGATATCTGCTTTCGTTTGGGCCCATGGCGCTTGGCAAAGCTTGTCTTGGATATCTGCTTGTCTTGACTCCAGGGCGTGAGTATTGAAATTCATATCCTTAAGTGGCAAATCCAAAAAAGAACACAACAAATGTACGTATTGAACATCTGAAGACCTCAAGCATGCACCTGAGCATCCAGGTTTTCAGCCAAGGTGCCCTCCGACAAGTCCTTGAGGCGCCCGTCTTGGTCAGTCAATGACTCCTGCCGTTGTCTGAGCGCCCGAAGCGGCAGAAAAAACAGAACAACAGGGAGACTGCGTTGTCTGAGAAGAGCACGGATGCACTAAACTCCACGTTCATTAATCTCACTCTTCACGCATAAACCCAGCATGTTGAGCATCAACACCAGCAAACCGACCGCATACCTTCAAAAATGGCTTTCACGCCGCCCCGTTCACGCCTGATGAAGCCTGATACCTACGCGTTCCGTCCTGGATCATCTCCCATTCAATGTCCCCTCCTTCGGTCTCTGCGCACTTCCTCAGCTTCGGTGGGACTGGTCTCGCCGGACCAGTCCGGGTCGAGACAAATGAGGGAACATCACGCCGTCCGCTCCACGTGGAAGTGCCTGGGGATCAATTGGACCACGACATGACGAACGATATGGGGTTGGATGACATTGCTCTACCTGTACTCAGTCTTGGCAGCCCAACATGCCCAATATATGTGCTCACCTTCCGTATCATCTCGACCGTTCTCTGAGTTTGACATGGCTGAACACCATTTCCATACACGACACGCCTGGGACTGCCAGTCCGGACTGCCGCCCCATGGACCTTCCTGGCACCACCCCGAACGGCCGGAACTTGAAGGCAGCCCGTCCTGGCAGTCCCAGACGTGGCGTGTCTGGGATCGAACACCTGCACCATGGAACTCCCATTCGTGGGGGAACTCCTCTGATCGCTCGGGAACCCGCCACCGAAGAGAAGGGGAAGCGAGGGTACCAGTCGTGCATGCCTCGTCAGTGCAATCGCTCCCCTCCCAAAGGTCGTCACAGTGTCTCAGCCGCAGTTTCAGAGGTTTTTCCGTGACCCTTTAGGACCCTACTGGAATACCTATAGGATAGTCCAAATGGAATATATACATTCATATACATTCTATATACGTTTTCTTCCGCTGATGTTGCCGTCTCAGACACCGTCTCAGTCGCACCTGGAGCCCCACCGCCGGCGCGCCCGCAGCAGTGTTCAGCACGTGGGTCGTAATGGGGCCCATCGGCGAAGCAGCGAGCCGTTTCGCCGTTTCACCACATCATGTTGCCGTGGAAAAAGGACGGTTTTCTGTGGGAAGTGAATGAAATATGGGTGGGTGTGTCATATAGGACATATATGGGTCTATTTGTGAATTTAGGACATCATATATATATATATATATGATTGTCAGGGTTTCATTCGAGCACTTCTTCTTGGAAGCAGGGACTGAGTTGCTGGCTGTCGATTTCAATGACTAAATGTGTGAATGTGTGATCTTGATGGTCAGAAAAAGAGTCTCAACGGATGGTCATCTGGGTGATCTGGGCACAACTTGGAGGCGTCTCAGTCGAATGGCCGTTGGTATGAATCTCCACAGGCCTTGGGCCTTGGGTGATCGTCTTGTAAGTTCATCTGGGACAGGTTGGTGCAGCTTCACAGCTAAAAGTTGGATTGGTGTGTGGCCATAGCAGGAAGCGAGGCCCTAGGCTTTGCCACTCGGCTCACTAGTCAGTGCGCGTGTTCTCACGCTTTGAGGGCTTGCATAACTTCACTTTGCTTGTTACAGAAAAGTTCCACTATTCAGGGCTCAATGATGGCTGACATGGGTACAACAGGCGCAATAAGAAAAGCAAGACGGCATGTGGAAGTAGTTCCAACACGGCATGGGTCCAGTTTTTCTTCGAATCGATCCAGCTCGAGCCGATCGTCTTCACCGATTCTGGGATGTACATGGAATGGTGACTATAGAACTAGACTCGATCAATCCTCTCGACTTTAAACATAACTTGCATTGATCAGCAGTCTGAACTAGAGTGGTCCAGTCTGATTGATATGTCGATTCTTGGCCAGGTCTAGCCATCACCTTTTTCTGAACTTGGAAATCACACAATCGTTATTTGGCTGAAGGAAGCGGGGATTCACTCATAGGCTCACGCTAGGGATAGGGGAACATGTTAACAAATAATCTATCTGCAGAATCCAAACGTATGTTCTGAAGGTCTGACCGTTGAACATGTTTTCAGCCGGCTTACAAGAAGTTGAATCTTCACACCTTCACAAGGTGTACCAGGTGCCGACATCGGCGGCATGGGTGGTCTCCCGAGTGCCCGCGCTGGTCGCGCAGGTGCTCACCCAGTTCTTGGAACCTGTGCCGCGTTTTGGGGTGAGAAGGTGTTCCTTTTTTGGTGCACCAGCTGACAGCTGAATCAAACTTTAGTATAATTAACTAATGTTGGAACTATTCCCTTAATCCAACTTATAGCATATCTTACTTTACATTCTTTGGTGACCATGTTTCTTCACGAGCTTGTCGGGATACGGCTTTCCACCGGCGGTGCTGGTCGGTGTCGACCGGATTGGGACCGACCGGATTCGGCGTTCCCCGGGACCGCGGCCGAAGCAGTCTGTGATGGGAAAGCTGTGGAACCTTTTTGTTGGTTTTGCCCATATATTTTGAAGTATTTGACCCATTTTCATGGGGCCTGAGACAGGCCTTTCCATCTCTAAAAATACTGAGGTTCTGGTCTGTGACAGGGTTTCCTGGGACACCCCCGATGCATGGGCAACGAAGCTGCAAAGTGATAAGTCGCTCCAGAATGCGATATCGGTGGTTACTGGTTACTAGTTGAAAGATATGATTTGCAACCTTGGTGTGTCACGGCCATGTGTTCCGGATTAACGATGCATTGGACCAAGCTATGCCTGGTAAGTCTAAACAAGACCCTGCGTCGACCCCTGGCCAAGTCCAAGGCTCACTGACTTAGTTGACCCTGCTGGTGTTTTTTCACATGGTAAGTCCTAAAGCCTTGACGTTGCCGGAACTCGGTCGACATCACTTAAGTGACCCATCGACCGATCCCGACCGATCCGGACCCCCGGACCCTGTCGCGAGTCTTGCGGAACCGAAGCGAAACGGCGCAATGTATGCCATTCCATGCGATTGGACCTCACTGGTTGGGCTAGATTGAAACACACTATACACTATATAATTGGCATTCCAAGGAGAGGTAGTTACGTGTCACTGGGACTCTATGGGGGTACATACGGGATGCAATATGGCGCTTCTCATCTTCTCAGGTATCCAACTCCATGATCGATAAAGCCCACACACACACCTGCCCTCCCTGACTCTGCTAGGTGCCCATGCTGACCAGAGGAGATCCTCATCACCAGCTCTCCTAAACCTTGGTGCAGTGGACTCTGCGGCAAAACTGACCAAACAATGCTCGACAAGAACAATAACATGTTGTTTGCCAACAACACAAAAACTGCAAACGCATACTTTTGCATCATGATGATTACTACTTCGTTACTTGGTTTTATACGGGTGTAATTCGTGACTTTGCAGCGCTCAAAGCAGCTATGAAGAATCATTCGCCCATTTATCCCCAAAAAAGGTCCTCTTTCTTAGGACCGGTCGGTCTCCGCCGAATATAGGCAAACATATTCCATAGACATCCATATCCGATCAAACTATGTCGTTTCAACCGGGTTTCCAAGATTAGCTCTCCTTGCTGATCGATTGAACAGGTCAAAAAAAACGAATCCTCAAGCAAACTTTGCGGGGGATTGTGGCGTACCTTGGTTTCGCCCCACGTCTCCCAAAGCTTTCTCTCATCCATTCACACTCTGCAAACGTCGCCCCTCCTCCAACCGAAAACGGTTTGCATGGTCAGCTGGCCGCAACTTTCAATAAACGTCGTGTATAACGTAGAATCTTGATTGATCAAGTCCTCAATTGAATTGTAAGACCTCTTCTATGGGACAACCAATCGCGCCCCACCTGCTTCGATTCGTCCCGCCAACGAAATCTGCTCGCTCTCGTTGCTGGGGACAGCCCCACTCCGTCCCTCAAAGGGCCGCCGGAAGCTGGACATCCTCGGTCTTAGACCCCACACAAACGCACCAGAAATCAAGAGGAACAGGACCTGTGTTCTGGGGAATGCTCTTAATGGCAACAAGAACCCACCCCCGCACCCGGGAACGCCCTGTCAACCACCACGGACCACTGCCAGTCCGGACTGCCGATCAAGCCAGACCCCCAGTCAACCACCCCTGGCCTGATCGGTACCCTGATACAAATGTGAGTACATCAAGCACACACTGCACGGCTTGAAGCACAGCTTGTCATGTTGAATAGACTGAAGTTGAAGTGGCAACTTTCGAGAATGTTCAGCGGACGTCTACTTTGGCGAACACATCAGTGAACACTTGGCGCTGTCCAAAGACCTGGCAGTCAAAACAATTTTGGCCGTCAACATTGACTTCTGCAGTGGAGGATTGTAAATAATCATGAATCATATTGGCCTAGTGGGGGTCATGAGCTAAAATCATGCTATTAAAAAAACAACAACATTGAATTGGGTCATCAACACAGCCTGGAGCCTGGCATTTGACCTGCAACATGTCCACCTTGGCTCACTCTGCTCACCTCGGCTCCGATCTTCAAAAGACTCAAAACTGTGGCACATACTAGGACCCTTAAGTTAAGGGTGGTTAATGGACAACCCTTAACCTCTAAGGGGCTATCAATAGACACCCCTCAGGGTGTCCTGGTATTTGATGTTCTTCCTCACCATTCCTCACCCCCGACCATAACGCCGAGCACGCGTCCAGCGCTCGCCAAACGGAACCACGGCGCCCCCCGCCAAACCCCCGCCCCGCCCCGGCAAGCTGAGCGGCTCGTAGAGGATCACACCCAAACTCCAAACCTCGAAGGGTGGGGGTCGTTGCGACCTCGGTGCCCCTGGACACCAATCTCCTGTCACATAGACTCCACTCAGACTCCGAGTTCTCGTCCCAACGCATTCCGAACTTGGAACCGATGCCGCAGATGATCGCTTGGATCCGAGCATTTTGGTTTGGGGATCCGAGTTTTCACCAAGCCGAGTGGATCCCAAGATCTCCGACGGTCACGGCTTGGTTTTTCATGCTGCACTCCCGATACGGCCGGTCGACCGATGCATGCTCATGCTTTGGTGCGCAGCAACTCCGCACTCAGCAGCAACACCCGATGATTTCCTGATCTTGCGAGATAGATCCGAACATGAACCCATCCCAGACACTCCATGAAACTGTCATATATGCTGATCAGTTGGGGTGGTTTTGGGGGTCAATGGGGCGGCAGTCCTATGGCAGTCCCATGGGTCGTGTCTGGGAATTGTTCCAAGATTCTTCCAATCATAACCGGCCACCACCCAAACCCCCACACCTACCGTGCCCACAGTCTGTGACTCCTCACATCGCAGGAGGGGCCATATGCGTCACCAGAGACAATCTCTGGGGCCTCGGGGGCGCGTGGGATTGCGGTTTCGGAACTTGGACTTTCGAGGAGCCAAAGTATATATAGTGGCCATCGAAATGTCAAGGATAGGTTATATAGTCATTCCTGGTGTCCACATGAAATGCAAATCAATTACCGGAAAGCTTCACTTAATTTGATTGAATCAGTTGAAAGGCCCTACCAGTTTTGGGCTGAACAAGGATCCCACACCATCGACGATTCCGGCATCAATTATATCAATTGTTGCACATCCAAGCGCATATAGCACATGGGGTATAGAAACAGTTGCCGTATCCAAACAGTTGGGTTTGCTGTATCCAACCTCTGCAACCTGGTGGGTGCTCCTGAAGTATGGACTGTTCCAAACCGTCCCCCCTTCCTAATCTGCGGCAGCAATAATAGTGACCCTTTCCTCAACAGCAGTGGTGTCAACTGGTGCTGGAGACCTGAACAACACCAAATCTTTACGGATCCACATACCTTCTCAGAAGGTATGTGGGCTCTCAAAGCCTACATAAATCGTCTCCAATCACCTTCTCAGAAGGTGTGTGGATCCATAGGGAAGGTTCTATCCCTGGAATCCGAGACGAATGGAGCAGGTGGGCTGAAGTGATGGACGGCTGAGTAGACGGCGTGAACCTGATGCAGGTGTCCAATGCACGGTGTGCAGTGCTGCCATGTGGAAGTGCAAAAAGACCTCCCGAAAAAATGAAAAAGCTTTGCTCGTGCTTTGCTCAAGGTGTCTTTATTGTTACAACCCACGAAGACGCCAACAAGCGAGGGCATGGAAACCTGAAAGTCTGCAAAA